TTTCTGTTAGTTCGTTGTTGGTATATAGAAATGCAACTGATGTCTGTAAGTTGATTTTGTACCCTGCAACTTTGCTGCAGTTTTTATTTCTAATAGTTTTTTTTTTTTGGTGAGGAAGATTGGCCCTGAGCTAATATCTATTGCCAATCTTCCTCTTTTTGCTTGAGGAAGACTGTCCCTGAGCTAACATCTATGCCCATCTTCCTCTATTTTGCATGTGGGAGGCTGCCACAGCGTGGCTTGATGAGCAGTGTGTAGGTCTGTGCCTGGGATCTGAACCCACGAACCCCAGACCGCCGAAGCAGAGGGCACGAACTTAACCATTATGCCACTGGGCCAGCCCCCAAAAGATAATTATTTTGCTTGCGTATTTCCATCTCTGCTACTCTCCTTTCTATCCTGTAGACCTGAATTTCCATTTGGTGTCATTTTTTTCAGCACGAAGATTCTCCATTAGCTTTTCCTTTGAGAGTTCTCTTGAAAACACACTGTCAGTTTTTGTGCATCTGAAAATGTCTATTACACTTTAATTTTTGAAATGTATTTTCTCTGGATGTAGAATTATGGGTTGATATTCCCCTTGAAGGGAACTTTAAAGATGCCATTCAATTGTTTTTTGGCTATGATTTTTTCCAATGAGAAACCAGATGTAATTTGTTCCTGGTATGTAGGTGTCATTTCTCTGGCTGCTTTTAAGATATCCTCTTTATCTTTGCTTTTCATCAGTTTGACACAACGTGCCTAGGCATGGCACATCATATTGCATTTACTATTAGGAATTGGCTGAGCGTCTCGAATCTGTAAATTGGTATTTTCACCACATTGTGAAACTTTTGGTTTTTATTTCTTCAAAGACTTTTTCTGCCCCATTCTATCTCTTGTCCCCTTCTGGGACACCAATTTCACATATTTTTGAATGTTTCATAGTGTCCTACAGGACATTGAATCTCTTTTCATTTTTTTTGGTATTTTTATCGCTATTTGGATTGGATACAAAAGAATTTTTATTGATATATAGAATATCTATATTACATATAGATATATATTACATATGTAATATATAATACATATTATATATCTATATATCTATATAGATACATAGATAGTTTTCTGACATTTCTTATGCCTTCTCCAATCTGCTGTTAAGCTCATCAAGTAATTTAAAAATTCATAATTATACTTTTCAGTTTTGGAATTTTCATTTGGTTGTTGTAAACAGTTTAGATGTTTCTGTAGAGATTCTCCATTTAGTTACTCATTATGAGTATGTTTTCCTTTAAGTCTTTGAACATATTTAAAATGGCTTCTTTAATATCCTTGTCTGCTAATTGAGTCTGTGTCTGTGTCATCTTGGGATTGATCTCCATTGATACTTTGTATGTGACAGTGGGTCACATTTTCTTCTTCTTTTGCATATTTAGTAATTTTTGAACATGTGTTGGGTGTTGTGGATGATATGTAGTACAGACTATGGATTTTGTATTCTTCCTCAGAAAAGTATTGGCTTTCATGTCAGAGGCAGTTAGCTTGACTGGACTCAGACTCCACGTCCATCTGCTGTGTGGTTGGCCGGAACTGAAATCTATGCAGGTTTTCAGCCTCCAAGCTGGTGTTTTTTGCTGGGCTCTTTGGAGTTTCCCCTACACATGCACAATTGAGGGATCAGCCCAGGACTGAGTAGAGATTCCATGCACATTTTGGGGTTCCCCTTTGGTGTCCCTCCTCTTATGGACATCTCCTCTTCATCTCCAGCTGCTCTTGAAATGCAGCCCTGAGTCCCATGACCTGAGCCCTCTGGCCAGGATGGTGCCGTGTCTGCTGTGTTTCCCTTGCACCTCTGGCTTGGCCTGGGGGGCACCTGTAGACAGACCTGTTTTTTTTTTTTAAAGTTTTTTATTTATTTATTTATTTATTTTTTCCCCCAAAGCCCCAGTAGATAGTTGTATGTTATAGCTGCACATCCTTCTAGTTGCTGTATGTGGGACGCGGCCTCAGCACGGCCGGAGAAGCGGTGCGTCGGTGCGCACCCGGGATCTGAACCCGGGCCACCAGCAGCAGAGTGCGCGCACTTAACCGCTAAGCCACTGGGCCGGCCCAAGACAGACCTTTTGAGGGATGATCTCCAGTGTCTGCTTGCAAGGCCATTCTCCATGTTGTTTTGTTGTTTGCTGTTTCTCAAAACCATTGTTGTTTTGAGCAGTTTTTCCAGACCTTATGATGCTGTCTGCAGGGATTCGTCTGGTACAAGCTGCTCCCCCCCATAAGAATTGGAACTACTTTCTCTCATGTGGCTTTTCATTTTCATTTCCCTTGTAACTAGTGTGGTTCAGCATCCTTTTCCTATGTTTAAGGCTATTTGGATATCTTTTGTGAGACATCTCTTGGACCAAAGATGACTTCTTATGTCTTCAGTGGGAAGCAAGGCACTGTCTTGCACCCCCTTCCAGGTTACCCAACTCAGCGGGAGATCCACACTCTCCATTGTCTTTGAGCTCTTTTACAACTCTGTAAGTTGTAGAGAATCGAAGGCCATGGGAATTCTCTCCTCTGGAAGGATGGTTGATTCTTCCCTGCCTTCTGTGGAAAAAGCCAGGTGCATTTGAAAATGCATCTGCTGATAAACTCTTTTTAGCATTCTTGATTCCACTATTTCAATGAGGGACTTTGAATTCTACTTTGCACTGGTTACAACCCCTTAATTAATGAATTAAATGAAGTCTTTGAAATGTGTTCATTATCTGTCTATATAAGAGTCATGATCACCGTGTTTTAAAACCTGTCCTTTAACATGTCGCAAATGTCTTCTCCCCATGGCCCCACTTATCCTGGGTTGAGGAAGTTCTGTGACCTGGGCGGGGGCAGGAGACCAGGTGTTGAGGAGCAGACTTGAGGGATGCCGGCCACCTGGTTCCTCCAGGGCTCTGGGTCAGGGCGCTCCCCTGGGACAGCTTCCCTCAGTCCCTTCTGTTGTGTGGCCTCACAGCCCCACACTTTCCCCTCACAGCACTTATCACAGTGTCCTTATGTCACTGTTTGTGGGATCATGTACTTCACATCTGGGGAGGTGGACGCAGGTGGATACTGAGTGGGAGAGGCCGGCACAGACACAGGCCGGGGGAGGGTGGGTGCATTCTGCTGGGTGCATTAGGAGAGACTGACAGAGGAGGAGGTGTGGAGCTCTGAGCTAAGAGAAGGCTGTGTAGGATTTGCTGGGTGTGTAGAGGGAAGGAACACCAGCAGAAGGGACCAGTAAGGGCAAAGACTTGGGGTGGGAGGCAGCGTAAGTACCCAGGTTAGATATCCGAGTGTGTGGTGACAGGGCACTGCGTTTGTGTGTTCCTGGACTTAACTCCCCTGTTTTGGGCTGAATTGTGTTCCCCAAATTCATTTCTTGAAGCCATGACCCCCAGGACTTCTGAATATGGCTGTAGCTGGAGATAGGGTCTTTCAAGAGGTAATAAGTTAAAACGGGGTGAGTAGGCTGGGCCCTAATCCAGTGTGACTGCTGCCCTATAAGAAGAGGGGTCAGGGCACAGACACTCGCAGAGGGAGGCTGGGGCAAGGACACGGGGAGAAGAGGCCATCTACACAGCCAGGAGAGAGGCCTCAGCAGAAACCCACTCTGCTGACACCTGCTCTGGGACGTGCAGCCTCCAGACATGTGAGAGAACAAATGTCTGTTGTTCAGGCCGCCCAGGCTGGTCATTGCAGCAGCCGTGCTGACTCATACACACCCAGCCCTGGGGTCTTGCTTCTGGCCATGACCAGTGTTGAAAGCTCCTCCTGCCCCCCGCCCCCAGGCTGGCCCTGCTCCCCACCAGGCCCCGTCAGCCACCTCGCCCCTCGTCATTGCCCCGTTTCTGGGCTGCCTTCCTCACCCACGGAACCTCAGGGGCTGGAGGAGAGCTGAGGGCGGGAGGGGACGGCTGGCTGGACGGTTCTGGCGCTGTGAGGGTGTGGAGGGAGCCCCTGACACAGGACTGGGCCAGGTTTTGGATTTCACAAGGTGTGTCTACATACTAAGGTGTGGAATTTTTAAGGATGTTTTATTGTCGTTTTAAAAAAAAGAAATGGTAAAGAAAATCAATGGGCTCCAGAAAGTTAAAAAGAAGGAAAAAAGATACCAAAGCTACAACTGTGGCCTTTCCTTTGAGCAACCTCTCTGCTGTCTGTCCCCTGGTAGTCGGGGCAGGGGTCTGCCTCTCCTTCCTGTGTGCATCCATGTCCTTCCCATCTAAATTGGGTACTTGCCATTCGCTCTAGACGTGAGAGGGGAATCAGTTCCGAGGGCTGTGAGGCTGGGTCTCTGAGGTTGGTCACCCGGTCTGCTCCCCAAGGCCATGGGCTCCTTCCTCGGTGGGCTCATCTCTCACCCCTAGGCCACGGAGCAACCTGGATTTCCTGTGGAATGTGACTCCGGCCCCTCTCCAGGAGGCCCATCTGGCCGGACGCTCACCCCCACCCTGCGTTCTGCCGCCGCCATCTGCCACGGCACCTGCAGTGGTCGTGGGCCCAGGCCTTCTTCTGAGTGGTCTTCTTGGGTAGAGTCGATCCGATTGACTGTTACAGGCAGGTCTGGAAGCTTCCCTGTTGATGGACGAGGGCCCCGTGTCCTCCTGGCCCTGCTGGCAGATGTTCCCACTCAAGGATCTGACACCTCACGTCTCCTCTCAGGAAACCTGTGTCCTCTACCCCGGCATGGATGCGATTTGCATGAAGACCCGTCCCTGCCCAGAAAGACAGGGGCATGTTGACCCTCCACCTCCTCCAGGGTGACCACACACGCTGACCCCGGGGAAGTCCTGGTGAGGGACGCTAGGCCCTGATGACTCAGCGTCCACACGGCCCTGGAGTTTCTTGGTTGTTGCTTGGAGGGGCCAGTGGGCATCCATCAGCTCAGTTTGGGGTTGCAGCTGCTGTCCGCTTGGTTCTCCAAATGAAGTCAGGGGGCAGGATACAGCCTGTGGTGACTGGGAAGCCAGAGAGCGGGGTGCAGGCCAAAGGGGCCATGAGGTCAGAGTCTGGCGAGTTCAGAGGGCAGAGGAGCAGGTCTGGGCGGCAGGCTGAGCAGCATGAACTGACGGACCTGGATCCTGTCTGGGGTCCGGGGCGGCCCGGGACGCCCACCCAGGAGGAGTGGCCCTAGGCCCCCTGCCCGATCATGTTCCTGTAGTCGGGGACGATGGTCCGCTTCAGCTCCACCACCGAGGAGAAGATCCACTTCACCTGCAGCGGGCGGGCGAGGGGGTGAGCATGGCCTGGACCCCAACACCAGCCTCCTGCCGGGGCCTACCCTCCCTGCACCTGGGGCCACCTGACAGTGGGGGGTCCCGGTGGGGATGGCATGGGGACATGGTGGGGACAGTGAGGGCACAGAGTGTGGGGTGGCAATGGGGCAGTGAGGTGACAGTGAGGTGACAGTGATGAGATGTGTGGGAACAGTGTGGGACAGTGTGAAAACATGGTGGCAACAGTGAGGGGGCAGTGGCGGACAGTGTGAGGACATCATGGTGACAGCAAGGGGACGATGTGGGGAGGGCCTGGCCCACCTTGAAGAGGGTGACGGTGGCACTGTAGCACACGCTGAGCAGGAAGAGCGTGATGAAGATGGAGATGGTGGTCCACAGCCCGTCCAGCTCCCCGACCTGTGTCTCAGCACAGCTCTCGTCCAGGACCACCTCTGGACAGGGAGGGGGTGGTCAGTGCTGTGCCTGCCCGAGGGTGCCTGGCGCAGGGTTGGCGGTGATGTGGGGGGTGATTCCCTCTGGGACAGGGTGGGCGGGGCAGGTGGAAGCCCCCGGCTGGGTTGGGCCAGCAGGGGCTTCAGGTCAGTCTCTGGGCACTGGCCTCAGCTTGCCCATTCCTCCAGTTGGGACCCCAGGACTCGGCTCACACCCCTGACCCAGATCTCAGCCTGGCCAGTGGGGGACCAGCCCTCTCCTCTGCTCTGCCCTGTGCTGTGGCCCTCTGGGGAGAAGGCGTCCCAACCCCTGCAGGACAGAGGCTCAGGTCCCACATCCTCTCCTGGGGACCAGGCCCAGAGGGTGGAGGGTCAGCAGAGCCTGTCCACAGTGGGGCCCGTGTCCCAGGGACGGGCCGAAACGGGGTTGGGGTGTGTCCCCAGAGAATGAGTGGTTGAGTGCTGGGGACAAACTGGGTGTGGGGGGATTTCTGTGTGTCAGGGTGGGGGTGTTGTGCCCTGGGGAAGAGGAGGGCCGGTTGTCAGAGCTGGTCAGTGTGGTCAGTGTGAGGATGAGGCCTGAGCAGCCCCTGGGGTGTTGGAGGCTGTGTGGACCATCTGGTGTCCACGGTGAGAGTTCAGGAGACCAGGCTCCAAGCTCTGTTGGGAATGTGCAGGCTGCCCTTGTGTGAGCCCCGGTGTGTAAGGCCTGTGTGTGTGCGTATGTGTGTGTGTGCTCATGTGTGTGTGTGGAGGTGGTGTGTGCTGGCACTGCTTGGTGAGAGGGGCTTGTTTTCATTGGGTCTGGGCTCAGTGTCCACCTGGGCATCAGGGACTGTCCCTTCTCTGAGCACTCAGGGCCACCTGCCTCTGCTCCTTTGGGGACCAGGGATGATTGTCCCCATGTGTGGACAGGCCTGGCCCCTGGCAGGATGAGGCCAGGCATTGCCACTTTGCCTGAGGGAAGGTGGTGGCCTGATCCTGGAGTGCCCGAGGGCAAAACAGGCCCTCTTCCCACACCAGGGGCCAGGAAAGCATCCCGTGTGTGCCAGACCCACCTGGTGGAGTTCTGGAATGACCCAGTGGACAGGGAACCCCGGGAGACAAGGATGGGCCACTGTCCCACAGCTTGGGCCCCTACAGAGGAGGGACAGCCTGTGCACACATTTCCCTGAGGGGCTCCAGAGGGGTTTCTCCTGTTCCCTGGCCACATTCCAGCCCCGAGCAGCTGCTGCTGGAGGGAGGCCCAGTGGAGCTGCCGCCTCTGGTGAAGCCCCCTCCCCTCCTCGGGCAGCCCCTCCAGCAATCCTGGGCGGCCTGTACAGCCCGGAGCTCTGGGTCCTGCCTGAGTGGGACCGTCTCTCTCCCCTAATGGTGACAACTGTCGTCTCAGAGCTTGGCCACCCTACCTCCCCAGTGCACCTGAGCTCTGCCTCAGAAAGATCCATGACATCGTTGCAGGGTCCCAGGGCCATGCTGGGTGCTTTATTTCATGCCGGGGTGCCCAGGAGGTATGTACACAGGGGTGGGGGCTCAGTGTCCTCGTGAGACCCTGAGAGCCCACAGGGAGGGAGAGAGGACTCTCAGTAACGCTGGGCACGTAGCTCATTTACCCGGAGACTGGGAGGTAGATTTCTCCGTGTAGTGATTGTGGAGAGCCTCGTGCATCACCACACACGTGAACTTGACTCCCTGCTTCCACCTGTTTGTCTCCACCGAGAGCTTGCTGTACAGGAAGTAGGACCCATCAGCGTTCAGCTGGGGTGGGGTGGTTCTGTACTTGCCCTCCGGCTCTGACTCCCCGTTGCTCTGCCACTCGACGTTGACCTCAGGTGGGTAGAAGTCTTTGACCAGGCAGGTGACACTGACCGTGTCCTTGGCCAACTCATCCTGGTGTGGGGGCAGGACGTACACCTGTGGTTCCCGGGCCTGCCCTGTGGGGATGGGGTCAGTACAGATGGTCACTCCCTTGGGGTTCCCTGGGGACCCTCCCCACACCTGTCTGTCCTGCTCCCACCTTTGGCCTTGGAGATGTTCCTCTCAATGGGGGCTGGGAGGGCTTCGTTGCTGACCCTACACTTGAACTCCTTTCCACTCAGCCAGTCCTGGTGTTGGATGGGGAGGACGCTGACCACGCGGTAGGTGCTGTTGAACTGCTCCTCCTTCGGCTTCGTTGTAGCTGTGTTCACCTCTGTGCCATCCACATACCAGGTGAACTGGACATCGTGGTCTTCATGGCCCAAGTCTACCACCACGCAGGTGACCTCGGGCTTTCGGGAGATTGTGAGGACGTCCTTGGGTTTTGGGGGGAAGATGAAGACCGAAGGCCCTCCTGGGAGTTCAGGACCTGGGGTGGGAGACATGGGGGATCAGTACCTGGGCAGGCCTTCTCTTGGGGACTTGTCCCCCCTGGGCCACGCCTCTGCTCAGGCCTCCTCCTGAGGTTTAGGGTGGGGCCTGGCTTACTCACCTGTGCATTTGGGACACTGTGACCTATCGATCCATGGGATTGGGCCGGACACTGTCGAGAGAGCAGACTGGGGGTTACCGGGGCTGGAGGGGGATAGCTTTGGGGTGGCCTTAGGTCAGAACCAGGTTTTTGCAGATCTGAGACCAGCGCCCACCTCTGTGGGCCCAGGGGCTGGGTTAGGGCTGTCCAGCCTGCCCCCACCCTGGGCATGGGGGAAACGTCCAGAGGACCGCTCCCTGATCTAGGGAGGCCTCCCCTGTTGCCCTGGGGTCCAGGCAGGAGGGCTGACCCTGGGCCTGTCTCGCAGGGAACGCCCTCCATGTGGCCCCTCCTCTCACCGATTGTCTTGTCCACCTTGGTGCTGCTGGCCGGGTGGGCTACGTTGCAGATGTAGGCATGGCCCTCCAAGCTGCTGGCAGGCACGATCACCACGCTGAGGGTGTAGAGCCCCGAGGACTGCAGGACGGATGGAAAGGTGTGCACGCCTCTGGTCAGTCCGCCTGAGTTCCAGGACACGGTCACCGGCTCTGGGAAGTAGCCAGAGACCAGGCAGCCCAGGGCCACCGTGGGGCCAGATGTGTCCCCACAGCTGGAGACCAGTGGGAAGACTGATGGGGCCGTAGTAGAGGCTGCAAGAGAGGAGGCCGTGTGACCACCAGGGCCTAACCCTGCGAGGGTCCTGGTGGGGTGTCAGGTTCCCAGGCCTGGGGCATCACTGAGCCCAGCGCCCACGTGCTTCCAGAGAGTCTGCAGACTAGATGCCTCGTATGGGTCCCTCTCCTCCAGGGCTCATGCCTCTGCAGCCACGGGCTCTGGATTGGTCAACACTGGATGACCACCTGATTAGAGCCCCTGGGACCCCTGCCCCCTTGTCCCTGTTCAGGCCTCATGCAGGAGGCCCGCCTGACCAAGCCCTCTGTCTGAGTCCTGACCGGAATTCCCTCTCCTGGCCAGCTTCTGCTGGTCCCCCAATCCGCAGTCCTGTTGCCACACCCTGGCCCTGCCCTGGGTGAGTGGGCCCCTCCTTGGGTGGGTTGGCCTTTACCTCCAACTGCCAGTGTCTGCTCCCTGCACATCAGCCCAGAGCCCTTGCTGTGGCCTGTCTCTCCTCACCAGGCCCCATGTTTTCTGGGTCAGCTCAGCAGCCAAGGTATCCTGGGTGCCCATCCCCGTCCCTGCCTTGAACCCCATCCCTTCCCTGTACCCCATCCTAGCCCTGTACCCTGACCCTGCCTTTTACTCTGTCCATGTCCTGGACCATGTCTGTGTTCTTGTACCTGTCTCTGCCCTAGACCCCGTCTCTGCCCTGGACCCCGTCCCTGCCCAAGACCCTGTGCCTGCCATGGACCCCATCCCTTCCCTGGGCCCCGTCTCTGCCCTGGACCCTGTCCCTGCCCTGGACCCCATCCCTGCCCTGGACCCCGTCTCTGCCCTGGACCGTGTCTCTGCCCTGGATGCCATCTCTGCCCTGGACCCTGTCCCTGCCATGGACCCTGTCCCTTCACTGGACCCCGTCCCTTCCCTGGACCCCGTCCCTGCCCTAGACTCTGTCTCTGCCCTGGACCCCGTCCTTGCCCTGGACCCTGTCTCTGCCCTGGACCCTGTCTTTGCGATGGACGCCATCTCTGCCTTGGACCCTCTCTCTGCCTTAGACCCTGCCCCTTCATGGACCCCGTCCCTGCCTTAGTCTCTGTCTCTGCCCTGGACCCCGTCCTTGCCCTGGACCCTGTACCTTCCCTGGACCCTGTCTCTGCCCTGGACTCTATCTCTGCCCTGGACCCTGTCCATTCCCTGGACCCCATCCCTGTCCTGGACCCCGTCCCTGGGAATCTCCTTTTCCCCCTCCCCTCCTGTCCCTGTGCCCCCCAGCTCAGTCTCCTAAATCCTCAGGTCCTCCTGGCATGGCTTCCTGGGCTCACCTCTGGCCCCTCCCTCCCAGACCCCCCCGCCCTCCACCATCCCTGCTCTTGGGCCTGTCCAGCTCCTTGCTCTCTCCAGAGCCCTCCTCCAGCCGTGATCCTTCCCCAGCCCAGCCTGCCCCTCGACACAGGTGGGAGCTGTGCACGGCCCTCGGCCCTCCTTTCCCCTCAGTGCTGGCATCCCCAGGCCCCAGTGCAGGCCAGGGTGCACCCTCTACCTACACACCCGGGCCGGGTCTGTCCCCTGTGACCCTGACTCTTGTCTGCTCAGCCCCAGGGCCCTGCCCGGACTCTTACCAGGTTGGCAGCCAAGGGTCAGGTCCCAAATGGGCCCCTCACCCTTCCGTCCTCCGGGTCCACTGCCTTGTGCCACCCCGCACTGCTTCAGCGTGTCTACCTCTCCTGTCCCACTTCCCAACAAGCCCCTGGAACTGGCTTGGTATCCTTGGATCCAAGAACTGCATTCCATCTGGTCCCCTCAGGGGTGCCCCCATGCCCTTGTGCCCCTTAAGCCACAGAGGACTTCCATCCCAGGGTCCCCCTCCATCCTAACTCACCATCACCTGGCCTCTCAACCAGCTCACACTCTCTTCCTGCACAGAGAGGACACCTGAGCCCCCTGAGCCCCAGCTGGCCCTGCTCCCTGTACCTGCTCAGATCCGCCTGTCCTGGGTGCTGTTTAGCTCAGGCCATCTGCTTCTTGTCCCCTGTGCTCCTGGGCCATCCCCTGCCCCGTCCTACCTTCCCACCTGACCCTGCTCACCTGCCAAACTCTGCCTGCTCCCCTGGAGCTTCTGAGCAGCCCCTGTCCCGTCCTACCCTCCCATCTGACCCTACTCACCTGCTAAGCTCTGCCTGCTCCCCCGGAGCTCCTGGGCAGCTCCCTGCCCCTCGTGCCCTCCCACCTGCCTCTGCTCACCTGCCAAGCTTTGCCTGCTCTCCTGGAGCTCCAGGGCAGCCTGCCCCTCCTGCTTTCCCACCTGACCCAGCTCACCGATAGCTGCTCTGCCTGCTCCTCTGGAGCTCCTGAGGCAGGCTCTGCCCCTTGGGCCCTTTCAGCTGCCCCTGCTCACCTGTAGCTGCTCTGCCCCTCATCCCTGGAGCCCATGGTCCACAGCAGCCCCCTGCCCCTCCTGTCTTATGATCACCTTCCCACCAGAGCCCTTGGCTTAGCCCAGCGCTGCTGGGTCTGCCCAGGGCTGCCTCTGCCCCTCCTGCCTGTCCCACGGCCCTCAGCCCATGTTTGCCCTCGCTCCTGGACTCATTTGTTTCCCAGGGCTCGGCTTCGTCTCCTGGAGCCACCAGGAGCCCACACTCTCTCTGGCCAGTTCTCCCCTGGCAGAGGCCCTCCCCTGGCCTGGTCCCCTCCAGGAGGAGCTCCTGGCCCCAGCTGGGCCTCACCCTCTCCTTGCCCCTCACCACCCTCGGAAGCCCCATCTGGAAGCCCCCTCTGGACCTTGCTCCCTGCAGCTGCCGGGTCAGCTGCCCTGTGCCCACCAGCTCACAGCCGCCGGAGCGCCAGCTCCTGCTCCTGACCCTCACTGCCTGGCTTCCAACGCCCCTCCCACAGCCCACTGAGCTCCTGCTCAGCCCTTTGCTGTCTGAGTTCTGAGCACACGGGAGCCCACGCTGCCCCCTGGCCTGCTCCCGGCTCACCTGCTGCCTTCGGCCCTGGCCGTAGCCCAGGACCCCATGGCCGCCACCTCTGACCCTGCTCTGGGGCTCAAGTCAGCTCCATTGGCCTGGATGGGACCCTTAGGCCACCTGTGGGTCCTCTTCCTCCCTTGTCCTGGTCCAGCCCCCTCCCAGTGTCCTGGGCATAAATCCACCTGTCCATCCTGGTGTCCATCATGCAGCAGCTCAGCTCCTGCCTGGCCCTGCCCTCAGCATGGCTGGCTAATGGCAGCCTTCATGCTTTTGGCCTCCCAGCCCATCGTGTTCCTCAGTGTTGATCTCTTTCAGCCTCCGGTGCATCCAGCTCTGTTGGCGTGGGCATGCCCCTGCCCATGGCTCCCTGGTGCCTGCGCTTATTTGGCACTGTGGCCTGTGGGCAGCCTGCCTTCTCCTGTGCTGGCTCAGCTGCTCGAGCTCGTCTGTATGTCTTTGAGGGCCTCATCTCCCCTCAGGTCCTGTGGCTGGTTCCACTGTCCCTACTCTACTCCCTCTGCCCCTGCTCCATGGGGACACCACTCACCGAGGGTGGGGGCCGTGGAGGCGGCTGCCCCTCAGCCCAGCCTGGGTCTCCGAAGAACCCCAACTCCCTCCCTGCTCTGGCTCCAGGCACATGTGGCTCCTCGCTGCCCCGTGCTCTGTGCCCACTGCCCTGCTTCCTAGGAGTTCATGCTGGTTCCCGGAGGTGTGAACGCCTCCCGACAGCCCTGCAAAGACTAAGAACGGGATTGAAACTGGGGGGCACTGCTTGCTTCCTGAAGTTCCCTTTTCTTCTGGGTAGTTTCTGTCTTAGAGAGCCTGGGGGTGTACAGATATGGCCAAGGCTGCCAAACATGTGTGTGTGGGAGTGGGGTGGGCGGATGCTCGGGACCCAGTGGAGAGTGCCGGAAGCCCAGCGTCATGTGTTCTTTGCTCTCTGCCCCCTACAGGGATTGTGCCCACTTGACCCACCACCAGCCGGGGTACCCGGGCCTCTCACCTGAGCCATCTGGTCCCCCGAGCTCCAGTGGGCACATCTCCCTGCCTGGGTCAGCGTGCAGTGTGGACACAGGCTGTCCTGCTCACAGCCTGCAGCCCAGCTGAGGGCTTCATCCTGTCCACTCACCGGGACGGCCTCCCGAGTAGAAAGCTGTCTTCCTCTGGGTCCCTGCCTCTTCCCTCCTTCCCTCTCTGGCTTCATCCGGGGATGGATCTCTGATCAAAGGGTGGTGCAACACCCGGGGTCAGAGGGAAGCTATTCTCCTGGCCACAGCTGTCCTCTGGAGGACAGACCGAAGTCTGACGGGCAAGGACAGAGTTCATGGTTGTCACTGGGACCCGAAAGTGCTCCTCTGTCTAAGAGACAGTGCGCAGTCCCTCGACTCCCATGTGTGAGCCGAGACCCAGCTGTCCCGTTTGTGTGGGGACACCAACCCTCAGTGTCTTGTGTCTTGGAGTGCTGCGGCTCACCTCTGGCCCCGCGTGCACCCCTGTGCTGCCCTGTATCTTCCATGTTAGGTCTTGGATCAGGTACCTCTGGGAGGCAACCTAGCCCCCACCCCAGAATTTCCCGGGGCCAGGAAGGTGACTGGGAAGGGCCAGGTCTGGTTCCTTCCAAGTGGTTGGTGGACAGGGGCTTGTGCTGTGGCCCCTTCAGGTGGGCCAGGAGCAGAGTCCAAGGCTGTAGGAAGCGAACTTTCAGGGAGGTGCCCTCAAACATAGAAGGTGAGCAGGTCCTCCCACCTATTGGTGTTTGCAGTATCCTGTGGTACCAGGTGTCCCTGGAGCCGCCCTGTGTCCTCCAACAGTCTCCTCCAGGTCCCTCTGCCTCCCCTGTGGTCAAGTCCTCATGCTACTTTCTGCAGTGTGGGGTTCTCAGAGCAGCACCCACATGCAGGTCCCAAATCCTCGTCTGGTTGTTCATGGGTGTGCAGGGAGCTGTCCCAAAGTGTGTGGCTTCCACTGCGACGCCACTGATTTTGTTCATTTGTTGGCAGCCTGCGGGCGGTACAGGGCTCTGTGGGCAGGGGGTGCTCCTCTCTGTTCCACTCACATCAGCAAGGGGCTGGAAGGCTCTGCTGGGAATCTGGCACCTGGGCTGGGCGGGCGCCTGTTGTCTTCTCTGTCTCCATGGGCCTCTCTACAGGGACTCCCCAGCATTGCCCCTTCACATAACTGGACTGCTGCTCAGTGCCTGGGCCTGATTCCCAGCAGAATCCCTGTCTCCTCAGGTCCTGCTCTCAGAGATTGAGCAGTGGCCCCTCTGTGACCCTGTCCCCATGGAGGCTGTCACACAGGCCCCTGGATCGGGGGAATGAAGTGAACCCCACCTCTTCATGGGGCAGGGCTGGGTGATGGATGATCCTGTGGTCCTGGAAATGTTGCTGTGGCCACTTTGTAAAATGCCATTGGCCACAGCCTTGGTGAGGGTAGCTCCCCCTGGTCCCTTTCAGGTGAATACTTGATAAACCCACCACATACTCCTGGCTCCTCTGGCCCAGCTTTCTCTCCACCATACTCACGGGGTTCTGCTGTCTCTCCCATGTAAGGCAGG